ATAAGGCACTGGCACAGGGTTAAAGGTATGTTTACAATAATTGTGATGCTAATATGCAATGAACTAAATCAAAGAAGATCATAACGGTTATCATATAGATCTTCTTGGACCTAATAAAGCAATTCATAATACTTATAATCTACATTTACAGAAATAACATTATTGGGAAAATTGTCTGTGGAAAATACAGAATCATAAATACTCTGACTGCTTCAAATTTTCTGGAATAATGAAGAAAAGCGATTAATGGCTGCAGGTATAGAAAGTAAATTGTTTTAGACAATTATATACTATAGTACAAAGACAATGAAAATGAAAATATTTAATTCTGTTAGATCACTCTACATCATCGGTGGGGTCAAGTCGACCACGAACTACTATATCCTGTAGATTTTTATTTTTCGAATAAGCTATGAATATTTTTTTGAAAAAATAGTGGGAAATTTATTTTGTTACTCTGTGTAGTATCTTTTGATAATTCGGGATGCTTGGCAAGAAATGTTATTGAATAGAGCAACAAATGGGATTATTTGAGAATAAAACTGTATATTTAGTCCACAGGGTGAAATACTTAAAGAGCTGCCAGTGGCCACAATATGCGCTCTGATTTTCTGTGCATTAGATTTTTCAGATATACGATGTAAGAGCCTGCTAATGCTGGTGGTATATGTATTGTTGTTCAATACGGTTGTATTTACCCAGAATACCTTGAAGATTCGATTGCTTAAAGATGAGTTCCCTCATCTGTTTTAGTGTCAAATTAAGCAAACTATTTGATTAATTGGTATTTCTAATGAATCGTCATGTTTTCTTAATCATATCATTATTTATTGCAATTTAAACCAATCATAAAACATGTACATGTATGTACAGTCTGAATAAACAAAAAAAGACTTTGACCTTTCTTGATTGGTCACTAATTGGAATTCTGCTGGTAATTTTCTTTTAATTTAGCTAATTATGAATTAATGTTGGACATGTGAGAAACCGGTATTTTTCACGTCATAAAAACACCTTCAGTAAATGCAGAGGTAAAGATAAAGAGGACGATGACGATGATAAAAGTGAAACTGAATTTTCTCGAACCTGTACCAAAAAGATTAAACCAAAGTCGAAA